GTGTATGTATATATTATAACTTTTCCTTTCCCTCTGTCAATTGCTGATGATATGCAGTCACACAATATGGTCATCCGGTTATTGAACAGCTACCACGGTGTCTATAAACATTGAAATACAGACCTTGTGATAAGAAGATTTTACTTAAAGTCACTCCAGCATCAGCCACCTTCTAAACTCTGTATGTTCTCCGTAGTGGCAGCCGATCACTACAAGTAAACTAAAAATGAGTGCATTGTGGATGTAACCACTGAAAAATAATCTTTAAACTGTTCCCATTTGTGGATGCATCTCCGGTACATTGAACTTGTATAAAGTTTTAAAGTAATTTGGTTTATAGCTCAGCATGTGTCCTTGGCCTACCAGGCACTAAAACAAACAGCGATCCGTATAACCTCCAATACAAACACAAGTACAACATATATAGTACACTGGATCCTTGGGCATGTTTCGAACTGTTGCTAGATAAAGCAAATATCACTGAAATGCATGTAACCTACATATGTACAGAATACAAAACCCCATTGAAGGTCAAAGACAAAATATGGTCTTGATAAGTGGTGATGTAATTAGAAATTTACTGCTAGGATAAAATGGATGTTCACCCCACATCTTCCACAATAGGGCAGCATTTTGCTGGATGCCATACACAAGGATTTTCCTGCTCTTCTCCACATCTCCCTCCTCTTCATTTGGTACACATTCTTCTATGAAATGCTGCAACCCACACTCAGCCTGTGTTTTCAGTGCATCTTCTTCTGTTCTATCACATATGGCAGTATGAAACAATTACATAATGAGACATATTATCAGGGCCTGTCTATCAAGATGAAGAGACCACGAATAAATAGTAGCCACTTATTAGATCGACTGTTCTGGCACTCCCTGATCTATCTGTACCTCCTCTGGCATTCATATTTTCCTTTCATAACCCTGGCTTCTTGTGGAATAAAACAATGCAGCATTAACAATATTCAAGAAAGGATTTGAAAAGTCAAAGATAGGGCTGGGACTATGGCTAGATACAGAGCACTGCCTGTAACATGTTAGGCCCTAGGTTCTGTCCCTTGTAGCACACACACACACACACACACACACACACACACACACACACACACTCTAAATCCCATCACTTTTGTCCTGGAAAGTGCTGACACTCAGGCTAATGTGATCTACCTGTTCTTCCATCTTTCATAGGTGTTATCCATAACAAGCTAAAGAAAAGCAAGACCTTCCTCAGAAGAACACACATACTATGACAGGACTTTTTTCAATTGTGTGTGTGTGTGTGTGTGTGTGTGTGTGTGTGTGTGTGTGTGTGTGTGTGTCTGTGTCACAGCTCATATGTGGAAGTCAGAGGACAATTTGCATTAGTCTATTTTCTCAATGCTATGTGGTTTCAGGGTTTTGAACTCAGGCTTGGCCAGGCTTGACAACAAGTGCTCCTACTCTCTGAGCCACATCTCCAGCAGTTGTGTTTACTTGATGGTCAACATTTGACTCCAGGAAAAAAATGGCTCTAGATCTCTAGATCTGGCTATACTTTTGCCTTCCACTCTGTGAGTCTAATTCTATTTTTCATACTCCAGAAAGTGAACATGAATTTAATGACTGAGCACAAAGGAGAATGTTAGGCTGTCCTGTCCTAATTCTTATGATGTAAATTGGAAACATTGCTGTTTAATGATATATCTATATTTAACAAATGGATCATGGCAAGCCTCACTGCACATGAGTATGTTGTGACACTATGGTTTGAAGCAGCTGGGAAGCACATGGATATGGGCAATGAAATATGAACCCATATATTATGTCTTCCAGACTACTGTGGTGTAATTTGATATCATAGCAGCAAACTAAAGAGAAACCTCTGTGATCTGGAAGAGTTAATGTTTCTCTTAAACACAAGTGGAAAACCATTTTTATAAAGGCTGTCATACAGTGAACATTTTAGACTTTTGGGGACAACATTGTCCCTGACCTTGCTAGACAGTCAGAGAACTTAGGAATGCAAACTAGCTTACTAATAATGAAATTTAAAATTTCATATATTCTTATGTCACTGTACATTATTTTTGTTATTTTTTTCCACTTCTTAAATATATAAAAATCAGTCTGAATTCCTAACTCATGCAAAAACAGACAATGCAGAAGAATTTTGCTTATAAACTCCAGTTTACTATAACTGTTCTAAAATATGCAATCAGTTGGCAGGGATCACATTAATTCAATAAGTGAATGTTGTTGGACAGCACTTTGCAGGGACAACTGTACTTAAAGGTGAAGAAGTCTTGGGTTGTTTATAAAGGCACTACAGACTGAAACAAATTCAACAAAGTATAAATAGAAATTATATGTCTTAAGTCAGTCAGGACCATGATCTCAGGATTCACAGACAGACAGGTGGACACTGCATCAAAAGGCCAACATCTTATGGGAGTCAATTAACATATCTGGAATGTAGGGCTGTTTGGGTTTTAGTTTCTTTTCCTTTGCTTTCGTCTAACATATAATTAAAAAGAATATGGTTTTAATTTAACCCCTGTTCATCTTCCTCAATATTCTGCCATTTCTAAAGAATTATTTTCATGCAAGAGCATTAAAGTACAAAAGATTAAGTATTCTGAATTTATTAGGTATGTCTTCTTTACTGATTATTAACAGTAGAATTGGCTTACAGGATAATTTTTTTCATGGATAAGAAGAAAATCAAAGATAAAACTCAGCAGGAGGGTGGTAGACAGCAGCAATATGGTGTGGGTGTAGGCAAATCCCTGTGATTCATAGAAAAGTCAGGGCTCACAGATCAACTCTGTTGTGCGAAACTACTTCACTTGGAGAATAGTTCCAGCCTCAGATCATTAGAAAAAAATGCATAAAATCTCACCTATTTCAGAACTGAGAGGTGCAAAACCACAACCCCAATATGTGCTCCGTCACTGCAGTGGGTATTATAACTATTACCTTCTATACACCTGGGCCCTGTGTGTCTGCCATGATGCCACTTTCTGGTTGACATATACCTAAAAATTGTGAACATTAGCACCCAGACTATAGAGCCAAGCACATTTGAGTGCCGGCTACAGCTGAAAGAATATGTTTCTATTCCTTGTCCATCTGTTCTTGGCAGCAGAAATTTAAGCTAAAAACAGAGAATAGCTTCTGAGAAACAAGTCTAAATAGGGTGAAAGCAGCAAGATGGATTCTCTAGGGCTTCAAATCCCGGCCATAGCTTGGTACATTGGTTTTGTAGCTGAATGCTTTTTATTTGGGACCACTTCCTATTACAACTATAGCACAAAAATTTTTACAATAACATTCTTTAATCAGTCAATTTAAAGTATGTTGTTTTGGCCATATATCCCATTTTAAGAGCTTATGTTACATTTTCTCATGATCATGAGGCTAATGAATTTCTGGGGCTCTCAAAGAGCTGCTCACTATAGTTGAATTCCATTGAACATGGATCATCAACATCTCTGAATTCTGAGTTGTCACACATTCCTTAGTTATTAATAAAACTTCCTGTCTAAAATGGATTCCACACATTTACTTATCCCATGTTCAATATTGATGGTGGAGACCAACCACATGTTTATCTGGTGTAATTGCTGTGGCTTCCAACTGTGTGATACCACCTCCAGACTTTTTCCTGTTTTGTTTTTCCTCCTAAAATTGTATCAAAATAATTTACACTTGAAAACTCACCAAAAACAATACAAGAATACCACACTGGGAATGGTAACATAAACCTTTAAGCCCAACAGAGGCAAGTATTGCAGGACAGCCTGGTCTGATATCAAATTCAAAGTCAACCATGGCTACACATTGAGACCTTGCCTCCAGAAAAAAAAAAAAAAAAAGACAAAATCATAGCACCACAAATGAAAAGGGCCATGAGTGATCACCATAATTTCTGTATCCTATCAGGATCTCAGCATTCTGTGTTCTACAAATGAGTAAGTCTACTGTCAAAGTGTTGGGCAGGTTCCTTGGAGACTCAACTGGTGGGAGGGTACCGTCTACTTTTTGCAACTGTGCACACTTTTGAAAGGAAAGACCTTGTACCTTACAAAGTACAGCTCATGGAAGTAATGTCTCTATTTATTAAGTATCTCCTTTGTATATAACTACTATACTAGCTTATGCTTTGAAGTGAGTCAGTTCAACTTTGTCCTTATCACATCCTTAGTGTGTGAATATTTAAAAAGTGGTCCTCTAACTTTCAGCTTCTTTAAGGTGGCTTAGGACATATATCAGTGAGGTCCATCTCATGCCACATGCTTTAAACTATGGCATGCACTTAATAAACATTTAAAAGGTGATACCAGCCCTTTCTGATGTTTCTCTTAATAATGAGAGGATGTTTGCAGTGTGTTGATTAGCTCATCTACTTCCAAATGTCATTTTGGTAGAATATATATTTCTCAACCTCAGGAAAATGCTTCCAGAAACTTCTATCATTTCTTGAGCTTCTACTTTGTGTTCAAGCCACTTGATGAAATAAGACTCAGTCTTGATAACCTGTGAAAGCAAAAGCGTCAACTCCATGATCTCCAGGGTTTCTTGTTTGAGTAACTTAACAAAATCACGTCTGACAGTAGATCTGCATGCTTTATTTATAGTGATGAAATGTGTATTTGCTGCCAAATGTCTGATGTGGGCTGTATAGCTCTTCCATGTATACATGTGGAATAACATTAAGTTGTTGATGTTAAAAACTACTGGTGTTTTTTTTTTTTTTTTTTTTTTTTGGTATTATTTGGCTCTGAATTTGTTCTTTTAACTTGTTTTAGAATAAGCTGAGAGCAAATAGTTTTCTACAGAGCATCAAGGATTAGTTAAACTAAGACTTACAGAAGAACTGCATTTTTTTCCATTACCTTTGACTTTTGAGACAGACATTTTGCAGAGTGTCATTTTTGACTTCCATAAGACACAGTGGCATTACTGTGTACAACACGCACACTGTGACTGACAAGGCATTTATTTTCTTTCAGATCTAAGTGACCAGCTTCTAGAGGTTGTTGGCTTGGAAGGAGCAATGGAAATGGGCCAAATATACACAGGGCTGAAAAGTGCTGGTCGGCGGCTGGCTCAGTGCTCCTCTGTGGTTATCAGGTAGTGCTTTTGCTATAATTGACAGTGCTTTGGCATGACATAATCCTAGACTAATTAAAAGGATGCAAGAATTCTGACAGTGATATCTGTCTTATTTTTGTTTCAACTGATCAATGATTAAAGCTTACATATTTCAAAATGATAGAAATTAACAGATTTTACAGCTTGGCAGCTGCTTCTTATTGGGTTCTATAGAATCTAATCTTGCGCTACCTTGATGTTTGGGTTACATTTTTATAACTGTGACAAAAAAGAAATGAGGTAGAAACATCTTTAAGGAAGGAGGTTTTATTTTGCTCAGAACTGGTGTCAGCCCATCAAGTGGCAGAGCAGGTGGCTGCATCCTGTTAGCCAGGAAACAGAGAGAAGGCAAGAGCTAGGACTGACATATTCCCAAGAACCTACTTATAGTGGTCAACTTCTCCCAATAAATGTCCACCTATTGAAGCTCCTAAGCTTCAAAGTAGGGCTAGCAGCTAGGGAAAAATCTATAAGACATGAGTCCAAGGGAGATATTTAAAATTAAAACCATGATGATGCCCCAACTAATGCACATGCAGATTTAATGCATCCCTGTGTTCACTCACAGTCATGCTATTGCCTGCAGCATCAAAGTATTTACTCAACAAATTATCCAAAGAAAAACCTACTGACATACTATTAAGTTACATTTTCTAGCGAACTGAAGTGTAGCATTGTGCTCATAAACCTAAATTATAAATCAGTATATGATAAAGTTTCCGAAGTTTGAATTATATAAAACACTTCACCTATAGAAAACCATAGAATGCATTTTGACCCCAAAATGAAACCACAAGTTAGGTGTTGATACAACAGATATTATTTTATGAGTGTGTTGGTTTGAGAAACTCTTATACATCCAACATGGTTTTGAAAGATTTTTAATGTGTATGAGATTGTGCTGGTGGAAATACATGTGTCAACTAGGAATCACTTTTGTTTTGGGAATTCAGAAAGTGTCTTTGAACACAAATCCTGGTATTTTCTTTTGGCATTCAGAATTATTCTTTATGTCACCACATTTACCAGGAAGCTTTTAACATTCTTGTGACCAAGGAACCTTTCAGAGTGTTCATTAATAGTTAATGAAACCCCCCTTTCAGAAAAGGTCAGCAGTGATCACATTTGCGTTCCTTGGACTTATCGTCTTGTGCTTTACAGATGCTTTCTTATAGTAAATATTTTAGCATTATAGTAACAGTGAAGTATTTTTTTCCAGGACAAACAAGTCGCTGCCAATGCAGATTGATGGAGAGCCATGGATGCAGACCCCATGCACTGTGAGTACCAAGTGGTGGGGAATCATCACCAGTGTTACTTTTGTTTTCCAGATATCATACATTTCTATAGCTAAGCTGCCACAAAATCTAATGTTTTGTCATGTCCTCTCTAACAACTATGTGGCAAGTCCACTTTTTCATCTTATCGATGCAGAGAAGCTATTGCATTCGGGCAGATAACAAAGATGAAGTGTAAACTCCAGGACAAAGCAAAATGCTTAGAAAACTTCTAATTCTTTTGTTCAATTTCTAAGCATCTAATAAGAAAATTGGTTGTGGGTCCTTGACACATATGAAGAAAAACACTGCTGATGTTCTTTAAGTTAAATCTTTCTTGTTTCTGGAACATTTCTTATAGTTACTAGAGTCTACTATTTTCTTAGTCATAAAGTAAAACTAATCTGGCTTTTTTCTTGAAAACTGCCATTCTGGTGTATGTGAAAGAGAATCTCAATGTTTTGATTTGCATTTATTTGATGGACAGTGATCGGACACTTTTTCTGAAGTTTGTAAGTTCTTAATGTTTCATCTCATTAACATGTTTAATTGTTAGTGTTTAGTTTTCTTTAATTCTTTGTAGGTTCTAGATGGTAGTACTTGTAAGTTATGTAGCTAACAAAAATTTTCTCATATTTTTTAGGCTGTCTCTTCATTTCTTTGGCTAATTCTGTTGGTGTTCAGAAGCTTTTTAATTTCATGAATTCCTGTTTGTTGATTGTTGACATTATTTTCTGAATGAGAATCCTATTCACAGAACTCTTCCCTAAGCCTATATCTTGAAGTGCTTGCCTTACTTCCCCTTTTATCAGTTTCCTGTCTCATATTAAATTCTTTTATTCATTTAAAATTGGTTTTTGTATAAGGTGAGAGCAGGGATCTACTTTTACAAGTCTACCTGTAGATATGCAGTTTCCTATCACCCTCTGATACAGAGGCTCAAACAGGTTATTTTCAAATGTTTTCTGATCTCTTTTGCTGTAAATAACAATTATTCTTTCAGTTTTTTCTATCATTTACTAGATTTTATGTATTTGTGCTTTATCTGGTGTTTTTTAGACTCTGTGAATGGGATTGCAATATTTACACTTACAGTCTCAATGATGTTAAGTATTGTCTTTGTTAGAGTTGCCAGTTGTCTTAGTTAGGGTTACTATTGTGATGATGCATGACCAAAAGCAATTTGGGAAGGAAACAGTTTAACTTGGCCTGCATGTCCTGAATCAAGTCCACTGAGGAAAATCAAGACAGTAACTCAAACTGAACAGGAGTCAGGAGCTGATGAAAAAGCCATGGAGGGTGATGTTTACTGGTCTTCTCATCAAGGTTTTCCCAAGCTGCTTTTTTATAGACCCAGACACACCAGCTCACGATGGGTTGGGCCCTCTGCCATCAATCAATCAAAATATGCCTACAGCTTTACATTGTAGAGACATTTTCTCAATTGAGGCTCCTTCCTGTTGATGCTAGCTTGTACACTAATGGTGTACACTAATGGTGCCAGTAATTGTGCTGTTAGGGATGGTAGGATGTTTCCAATGCTGGTGTAACAGACATGATGCTGATGGTAATGATATTATAGATGTACCCATGCTCATAACACCAGAGAAATAATAATAGTGGTCATGATGGTTATAGTAAGAATCTTAGTGAAGTTGTAGTCATGATAGTAATTGTTCTTATGATGTAGGATGGCAATGGTCACTAGTATTCTTATCTTTAATAGATGACCATTGTTGTTCAGCCATAATCAAAAGAAAATCAGTAAAATCAGTAAAATTAAAATAAAAGGAGTAGAAACAAAGGAATTCCTTCGGTGGTCTTTGCAGTCTTTCAGATGTTGCAGGGATATTGAATAAGAAACAATAAAGGCACTGTTAATATTTTTATGCTTATTAAGAGCTTCACATGTATAGATAATAAAGTACTTGTTTTGTATTGACACAGGCACAAGCACAAAATCACATTTAGCTCTATAGTGTGGAATCAACACACTAAAATAAGGGAAAGATATATATATATATATATATATATATATATATATATATATATATATATATATTCTTATCCTCATAGCTAACACATAGCAGAATAGTAACTAAAGGCATGCACCTGGACCTGATGGCTTCATTCTACTTCATTGATCCTACTGTCATAGCTGACAAAATCCAGGGTACCTTAAGAACTCTTTTGGGCAAAGCCTTGGGCACATTACTAGCTGCCATTTTCCAGTTCTGGAAGGACTATATCTATGAACAATTAATTGAAATTTTAGGTAGGATTAACTGATTTAACATAAGCCCTTTTGAGCCTGATTTTAGTGTTTTTTTTTTTCCAGTTAGTATTAGGAGACCCACTTTACCTGTTAATTATTGTAATCTACAATTTATAAATTAATATTTTATGTAATTTAAATTCCTATTCTTAAAAATATACCTATTCATTTAAAACATGTATCATATGTAACCTTCAATGAGTTAAGAACTATACTACACTAAGACTTATTATTTGTTAATTTAAATTCTGGAATATTCTACTTTTCCTAGAACCACGTGGGGCTTGAACTATAAATTTTATTTTAACTGAAGAGAATATTAATATTCTTAGCAGTGGCATAGTTTTACTAGAAAAAAGGGGGGGGGGTTCCTAGCACAATTTTTTCTTACAGAACATAAGAATTTGTAGAATGTTAAAATTCATTGCTAAATTTAAATATCCATAAGCTGATATTCGACTTATGAAGAATTTCTCTAGTTATAATTTTAGAGGAAACCAGAAGGTCTGCTTTCTTTTGAATTGACTAGACAGTAGAGAAGGGCAAGAAATGCATATGTCTTGATTCTTAAATCAATTAATACTATTTTTTAAAGAATCAAAATAATACAGAATCTCTTTTATGATAATCTTTTTTATTTAAATTTGAAACAAGCTTGTTTTACATGTCAATCCCAGTTCCTTGTCCCTCCCCTCCTCCCCTGCCTCCCCCATCCCCCATCCCATCCTTTTTCTGCTCCCCAGGAAGAGGCTTTTATTGAGGAATCTTCAAAGTTTTTTCATACCATTTGGAGCAGGGCCTAGGCCCTTCCCCAAGTGGCTAGGCTGAGTGAGTATCCCTCTATGTGGAATGGGTTCCCAAAGTCCATTTATACAAGGGATAAATACTGATCCACTACCAGAGGCCCCATAGCCTGCCTAGTCCTCTTAACTAACACCCACATTCAGGGGATCTAGGTCAGTCCTATGCTGTTTTCCATGAGCCCCCCCCCCCTTGTTCAGGTCAGCTGTTTCAGTGTAATTCTCCAGCCTGGTCTTGACCCCTTTGTTCATTACTTCTTTTTCTCTGCAACTGGGTTCCAGGTGTTCGGCTAATATTTAGCTGTAGGTGTCTGCTTCTGCTTCCATCGCCTACTGATGATGGTTCTAGGATAGCATATAATGTAGTCATCAATCTCAACATTGGGGAAGGGCATTTAAGGTAGCCTCTTCACTGTTGCTTAAATTATTAGTTGGAGTAATCCTTGTAGGTCTCTGGATATTTCCCTAGTGCCAGATTTCTCTTTAAACCTATAATGGCTCCCTCTATTATAGTATCTCTCTTCTTGCTCTCCTCTATTTTCCCCTGACTCAACCATCCTGTTCCCTCATGACCTCCTATCCCCTCCTCTTCTATCCTTCTCTTTCTCATAACTTGCTTTCCCTTCACCTTCCCCCACCCCTGGCACCTAATTTGCTCAAAAGATCTTGTCCCTTTCCTCTTCTGTGGGGGACCATGAATGTCTGTCTCACTTAGTGTCCTCCTTGATTCCTAGCTTCTCTGGTGGTGTGAATTGTAGGCTGGTGATCCTTTGCTGTATGTCTAAAATCCATATATGAGTGAGTACATACCATGTTTGTCCTTCTGTGACTGGGTTACCTCACTCAGGATGGTTTCTTCTAGGTCCATCCATTTGCCTGTGAATATCAAGATTCCATTGTTCTTTTTCCTCTGAGTAGTACTCTGTTGTGAATTTGTACCACATTATCTTTATCCATTCTTCAGTTGAGTGGCATCCAGGTTCTAGCTATTACAAATAAAGCTGCTGTGAACATAGTTAAACAGATGTTTTTGTTGTATGGATGCATCTGTTTTGGGTATATGCCTGAGAGTGGAATTGTTAGATCTTGTGACAGTTTGATTCCTATTTTCCTAAGAAACTGCATACTGATTTCCAAAGTGGCTGTTTAAGTTTGTACTCCTACAGAAGAGAGAGTTGAACTTTCTCCCCATCCTCTCCAGCATAAATTGTCTTTTTTTTTTTTTTAGCCATTCTGACAGTAGTAATAATATCTCAGAGTTGTTTTGATTTGAATTTCACTGATGGCTAAGGATGGTGAGCACTTTCTTAGTGTCTTTCAGCCATGTTTAAACTCCTCTATTAAGAATCCTCTAATTAGTTCTGTACCCCACTTTTTAATTGGAATATTTGGTGTCTTAGTTACTAGCTTCTTCAGTTCTTTGTATATTTTGGAGACAAGCCCTCTGTCAGATGTGGGGTTGATAAATATCTATTCTCAATCTGTACGCTGCCTTTTTGTCCTGTTGCTTCTTCGAAAAAATCAAAAAGGTAGACAAACCTTTATCCAAACTAACCAAAAGGCAGAGAGAGAACATGCAAATGAACAAAATCAGAAAAGAAAAGGGGGACATAACAGTGGACACTGAGGAAATCCATAGAATCTTCAGGTCATACTTTGAAAAACTTAACAGAAATGGACAAATATATATATATATATATATATATATATATATATATATATCTTATCAAAATTCAATCAAGAACAAATAAGCAATTTAAATAGATCTTTAACCCCTAATGAAATACAGTCATCCAAAGTCTCCCAACCAAAAAAGCCCAGGGCCAGATGGTTTCAGTATACAATTCTACCAGAAATTCAAAGAAAAGCTAATACCACTCCTCAAAGTGTTCTAAACAATAGAACAAAATAAGAGTCATTGTCAAACT